AGTAACCCCTGGAGTACCGTGGAGGAAAGTGAGAGTAACCCAAGGAGTATCGAGGATGAAAGTGAGAGTAACCCCTAGAGTATCGAGGATGAAAGTGAGAGTAACCCAAGGAGTATCGAGGATGAAAGTGAGAGTATCCCCTAAAGTATCGAGGATGAAAGTGAGAGTAACCCCTGGAGAAATATCGAGGATGCGATTCATCATACAACATCGACATCTGTTGCTGTGGTCACAAGGAGAGGGTAACAGTTGTTCCCATTCCTGTTTCCTGATATTTTATGTTATAAAATTCTTCAAAATAATTGCAAATGTGTCACACACTCAACCAATGACTTGTTGACCTCTCGCTTCTCTCTAAAATAAGTTTCTGTCATTTGTCATTGCGATATATGTGTTTATAGTGGGGGGTTTATTATAGAAAAACTGTCTTTCCGGCCATTCACAGTCGACTGTGTCAAACTTGACACACTGTTTTTGTACATCTGTATGCTATAAAGTTTATTACTGTATACCAACTATTGAACTCTGTCTGAACAATAACATGTTTACGGTTACCGTTATGTTTTTAGCATAGCGTCCTTCGTTGTGCTTGAAGGCGCAATGACCTCAGTCGGAAAAATACCTCTGGATTATTATAAAATAATTACTGTCAGAGCTTTGGACAAAGTTTGTGTATTTAATATCGCTGAGAACATTTGATAGGATTCTCAAACCTCCCATAATTGATGTTGTATGTATAGATCCCAATCAGGGAATGATTTCAATGCTGGGCGCTGACTTATCCTGTATTGATTTAATATTTTCTCTCCCCATGCATAAAAAATGATAAATGCAGTGTGCCCCCGGGGACCAAATTGTCCGCCAGTTTACTCTGGCCTGGTGGTAGAATAACAACTGAATACCAAAGTGTAAACAAGCCGATAGCTCGGAGTCAGAATCGATTACACTACTACAGTGTGAACAAAGTTGAGATGAATAACGTCAGCAACGCTGCATCCTTATATTTGTAACGTTGTTTTGACCTAAGGACACTCAATCTCACCAGCCATAAATTGTACTGTCATAACAATTTTCCAAACTGTGACTTCGGTGTCAACGAGAGTTGAAATAATTTATCAAATATACGATTCGTTGTAAGACCTTGAATGGTTACGACACTATAACAAATGTTACCTAGAAGATTATCAATATAGATAATCTGTATAAACGTAATAATTAACAAGTGATTGTAACAGACGGTTTTAAACTCCCACCTCATTTGTCTTACAGTGAGAAATAATAAACGCAAAAAAAGTAATGATGGCTATCGATCATAAAGTTCATTTCTACGCACATGAAGGTATGTCGTTACTTTATTTTCCCTAAGTAATGATACTACAGCAGGTGGGTTAAGAAATAATTTACACTAGAGCTCCTATACAGAATGACGTAATCTGAACTCTAACTAGATAACAAGAGGAACTAAAGTGATTTCAAATCAAAAGCAAAGATATTACGAATATTTCTAAATACGGATATGATGTGCAGGTGCAAATCAATACTTTTTTTATAAGTAAGTGTTTCTCAATGGAAAATATAACGTTGAGTTCTGTATCCTGAATGTATCCAATTAATTTGTGTTTTTTAAATTATATTTGAACATCCCATTAATGTTACGCCTATAACAACCCTTTTGTTGTTCCGGTAATTGCATGTTGACTCCACTTAGTGTACTTGCTAAATAATTAATGGTTACACAGTTCTCTCTAGAGTTGATTTTTCCGTCTATATTAGACCTTTGAATTATTAATGAGACATACTGCAGGATAGATTCATGACAACTTAATGCAGATTCATAATTTACAAACTATTTGTTTTAAAGCAGAAATTCCTAAAAAAAAAAAATGATATAAAGTCAATCACAGAGATTTAAGTTGAACATATGGAAACAAGAAGTATAACAAATATGTAAAAGTTAAACAGAACCTATTATATTAATTAAGATAAGTGAACAGTTTAAGCTGTCCTCTGCCGGAATATATTCCGGTTCTGAACCTTCCATATGATTGATCATGGAGTTTCCTCCGTCGGGATGCTTTACGCACATGACACGTCAATAACGTTAAGATAATGAAGAAATCGATTGTCCATTAGGTGCAATGCGTCTACCTGTGTTGTAACGAAAAGGTATTTACCTTTTAGAGTACAACCTATGTCAGTTAGAGGGGCGACACATTGACCGATTCCCGTCTTATCTAGCTCAGACTATGGAGATAACAGATGGAATTGTTCCTAAACATGTTTACAAAGACAAGACTTACCGTGCGTAAACAGGATTGTTGTTCGTGTTCACAACGACATTGATCTTCATGGATTCCTTAAACCAAGGGGTAGATTCGACTTCATCGATTCGGTGAATGATTTTCCGAGTGTAAGCTAAATTTTGCTTTATATTTGATTCTGTTGAGATTCTTTTCCCAAATGGACTTTTGGGAAGACACAGATGTGACATGATCTCGTCAGGAATAATTACTATACAACACCCAACCAGTTTATGCATGGACTCTCCATACAAGTACGTGCATATATATGATCTATTGTTGATTGAAAATTGTCACTTTTATATTGTTTTTACTTAATTTAGCAAAAGAAATATTGCATTCATAGATAAATGGCGCTTTATATAACATATATTTTCTTTAGAACATAACGCACTCAGTATTTCTTTCTTTTTTTTTGTTACAGATAAACATGACGCATTGAACTGAACTTTAACACAAAGATGTCATCCTCTGATGTTGTTCTTAAGGCTGGACAGAAACTTTCGTCGCCTCAAAGATATCTTCGCAAAGCAGCGTTCAATCTCTCTCGCCGAATGAAGTTGACTTTACGTGTTTTTGTCATGCTTCAAATTTCTGTTGGTGTTATATGCTTGTATAAGACTATTACATTGTCTTCATATACAAACGACAAGAATATAGTCACAGGTAACAAATACGACAAGAAAAACAGGAATATCAGGGAATTTACACAAAGTAGAATTGGAAATACAGCTCCTTTGAATAATATTCAACCAACAAGAAAACCCCTTCCATTGTGTCCGAAAACTCCACCCGGACTTCGTGAGTATAGTCAATCTGTTTTACTTAATGATACTCCATCTAAACATCAACGTCACCTTAAAAAATGTATGCGTATATTACGATCATGTCTACAGTGAACACATTACATTTAAAGGGACTATTTAGTCAAATGCCACTCTAAATATCGAGTAGTTACTAAAAATAAATATCTCCTCACGAAAATGTATGTAGGTCATAACGACAGGACCTGAAGGCAACAACCAGCGTGATCAGTTTTATCTTTTGGGAAAGCCGGTGATAAAAATAGCTACGACCGATATAGCGCAATATCCAGGCTTTTCAGCGAGAGGTAAAACAACACAGTGTCAGTAAGTCACACATCGCAAGCAAGAATCGTAAGTATTATAACATATAATTATTATAAAATATTTATTTTTACATTTGGATTTGGATGGAGAGTGACAGGTTTAGTTAGAGTATGCACGCACTGAGAGGGTATGCCTACCGCAGGGAGAATTTCAAGCCGCACAAAGAACGACATCAATATAGGTTCAAACGTTACAGATTGAGATCTTGTTTGGAAGATGCTTTTGATTCAGAATAAATGCCTATACTTTTATTGAAAAGAAGTAAGGTGAATATAGCGATAAGACAATTTGTTAGCTAGCAGTTCACCGACAGCTGCCGCTAAAAACGGACGTGTGTTTTCATAACTGCTAAAAACGTCAACAAAACATTGTCTCTTGTCAATTTTTCCACATGAATTTTTCATAAGGAGTTTCAAACTATATAATCATGAGAATTCTTTTGACAAGGTTATAAAAAATATTATTTTCACATTATTGATCTAAAATTATTATTTGCCTGAAAACGAAACAATGCTTCTCCTGGGTTTTTAAACACTATCCGTCGTAGATGCTTAATGAGAAAAAGATGCTACAAAACAACAATCTTATAACTCTCAGATGTTAAATGCAAGATTCATTATGTATCCTCAGAGGATTTATACAATAATAATTATATTCAAATAATAAATTATTATATACAGTTTGTTTTTCACATCTACCTCAGCTGATATATACAAAAAATACTCAGAGTACACTCAGTTGTTACATACAAAATATTTCTTAAATATAAAAATGTAGAATAAATGTAAGACATCTATTCAAAATTAAATACAGTAAAATACATAATAAAAAAAAACTATAAATATATAAAAATAAAGCATGTGGTACAAGTAATCTGATAGAGAAGCATCTTCTATAATCCTGGGGTTACGCTCACTTAAGCTTTCTGCAAGCGAATGTGGTGAGCGTAACCCCTGGAGTATCGAGGACGACAGAGTTACAACCCGAGAACTTATCCTTGTATGTAAACACGTTAACAGTGTGGCGTCAAGGCGGGGTTTAGAAATATATCGAGGGATTTATAGAAAGGAAATGTGAAAATAAGAAAGGGTATTGTACTGAGGTTTTTGCTATACCTTTAAAACATTTCTATCAGGAGAAAAATAGTACATACGAAACCATCAATAAGATTATATACAAACAATGTACATATTAAAAGCCTTTGTCTCTTGAGTCATTGCTTGAAACATTGCGACACCTTTAATACATTGTTTTTGTATGACGTAACACTTTGAAGTTTTACGGTAATGAAATAATATATTATAATGTTTATTACAGTTGGGAAGGTAAAACTAGACTTTTCCAATTACGAAATGGAACAAGTCGAGAAAAATTATAAATCCCTTCAAAATGGCGGCCGATTCAAACCACGATCATGCATTGCACGACACCGAGTTGCCATCATCATCCCTTACCGGAACCGGAAGGAACATTTGATAAAGCTGATGAACAACCTGCATAGTATTCTCCAGCGACAGCAGTTGGACTACGGCATTTACGTCATCGAGGTGGTAAGTACACGTGTTATTTGAATTAAACATTATACTAAAGAACGACGTCATTACCAACCCAGATAAAACGCATGTTTGTGTCGAAATAATGTTTTATATTGTTTCGAAAATTTATTTACTTATTTTAATCCTGGATATCACGAATATTCCGTAAACTCCTTTTTTATTGACTTCGACATAACGAGGTTTGTTTAACTTTGAATTCAATATTTTGAATACTTGAACGAACATATTCAGCGATATTGCGGTTTAGTTATAGTCTAACAGATACTTTATGACAATTATTTGAATATTTATTTCATCAATTTATCGCATGTGGATTATTTTGCATGTCTCAAATCTGAATTGATGCAGGAAAGCAAATATGTTGTCGCTGATACATATAATTGCAGTTATTTCATAATACCATTCTTCTTGTCCTGCCGTATTTTGTTTTTAATCTTACCGAGTTCTAGTCACATACTTGTGTTCTAACGATGAGAGATGTTGTCTTTTAATGAACCCCAGTTAATACGAGGATTATAACATCGATCCCTTTACTGTAAATTCGGATACATTTTTGGTGTTTTATCTCTTAGGATTTCAAGATATACCATACAGTTCTATTCCTCAGATTCATATTTTGACTTTTACATACATTACGGTAATCTCACTAAAAAACACTAAAACAAAAAAATGACATCTTTAGTCTTGCGATAATTCACTTTTCTTTTCTCAGTAATAACATATCAGCCTCCATTCATTATAGTTCCATGTGCCACAATTTATTTGCTACCTCTGAGCATTTCCTACCTCTGAGTATTTTCTGTAGTACAATGTATGTATTCAGGATTTTCTAGATGATTGCGTTCTATTGAGCATATTGAGTATACCATGATTAAACATTGGTTCACTGTGTGTTGGTGACGGTCACACTTCCCTGTCGCCTGAATTTTACTGCAGACGGCTGACTCATTTGGTGCAAGAATTGTTTACCCTTTCGGAACGTCTTTTTTGTAGGGGTCATGAGTTTTTTTGATGTCGTCTCAGTTTCTGTTGTTGTTCTTTGGGAGATTGTGTTTTGTCGTGTGTTGAACACAGAGGTATATTCTTTCCATGCATGTTTTTGTTGACTCTAGGGTAAAGTTTGTCAATGTGCTGATGCTGAGGTATTTTTAATCATTATCTTTTTTTACGCTATTGTATTTGAAATTTGAAAAAAAAAACATACAATACGATTATTATGATAGCACAAACATGGTATGTCCTTCCTTAATTCCTTTGATGTGTATTTATGGCCCTCACTCTAGTCAGGTCTACCTCAATTGTCCATTTAAGTCACATATATGAATCCCTATTATTCAAATCATTTGTAATAAATGACAAAAGTTGCCGTACTTTCTTAGTCCTGTCTAATCATCCCTGTACCTTTCCCATACCTTTAACGTCGTTTTTTTCAAAATCTTGGCGAAGCAGGATTATCTTACCAGTATGTCATTTTGATAGATGTTGTCACATATTTTGAGTAGATAATTAATAAATCGATGCTTTTTTCGGGTACATTTTATCATAATTTAAGGATAGATTCATTTGACATCAAAGATACATATTGCACTCATAAAGTGAAAATGTGCTTCTAATTTCCGCTGTACAAGTACAAGTGCATGGAACAGAAACCATAACTCGGGGTTGAGATAAATAGGAATCGTATTTTTTTATCAGAAATTGGAACAGAGATAGAGAAAATTGTAAATGCTAAGTTGGTTTAGAACATGAACAGTAATTAAAAACGGTACCACCTCTGTTTTGTCTTCCTTCGGCAATTTGTCTTTCGCATCCTCTAAGATGCAGACTTGATAAACATAATACCCCTCCCTCTGACTGACTGCAGTATTGGAGCGCTATTCGGATGAAATGTCACCATGCTTTCTGACAGCTGACTTTGGGTTGTCTTCAGCGGTTTAGGGTCGAGACACCGCTCAGTTGCGCTCATTGCTTGACAAAAAAATAGACGTTTTCAAAAGTTAGCAAAAAAAAGTTTCAATATCTGTTTGTATTCAAAACAAACTTAGCCTTTATTATGCATACCAACCAAACTGATGAATCTCATTCTGAGCAAAAAACATGTAACTTGGATATTCTGAAATAGAGAGCTTAGGTCTAGTGAACAAGTAATTACAGTGACCATTGGTACCGGATATTGACCATGTCATTAATCCGTATATTTGATCCAGCACGTGGCACTACGAAGATTCTGATCACATTAAAGCCTCTCTTTATTGCCTCTATTTGCCCATAGAAAACGTGCAGTTATGAAGGGTTGGCTAGTTTTTTGCAGTAATTATTCAGAGGGAAAAGGCCCGCCGGGCATATGAGCTTCAATTTTGATGGCTGTCACCATCGATACTCCAAGGGTTACACAAATGTAATCACTAATGCTTTCTGCACCCCTGGAATATGTCGTGGAAAAATTGAAGGCACGCGGCTGAAACCTGGCCTTTGCAGATTGCAGAAAAACGTCAACCGATATCAGACTGTCAATTTTACTGTCACACGACTGCGAGATTTGCTTAATGTACAGCAAAGGATCAAATGAGGCTCCAGGTATCATCAACAAGATTGTGCGCACTGAGCCTTCGATGTTGCTATGACATATTCCAGAGGCACAGAGAGCGAAAGTGAGCGAAACCCCTGGAGTATCGAGGATGGATGGATGTTAGCGAGATGATAAGCAGAGAGGCATTACTTAAAGGTTTTGTTGTAAATAAACATTTAGTCCACTGCATCCAGTCAATTTATAGTAGAAATTGTTTACTCAGATATAAAGATGACAAGAATGAGTATTGTGGCGGTTGAACTTCAAACTAATTATTGTGGCGGTTGAACTTGAAACTAATTATTGTGGCGGTTGAACTTCAAATTAGTTATTGTGGCGGCGGTTCAACTTCAAACTAATCATTGTGGTGGTTGACTTCAAACTGCACCATTCATTCAAGAAGAGATTTACTGGTGAAGGGAATAATACCAGATACTAACACCTTGTTGAAAAAATCAACAAACTTGCCAGGATACACCTAATCTTAGATGATACATCCTTGAGAGTTTTGAAAATGTTACTGATTATTAAAGTGAATTATTATTTTCTTCATTGAATTTTTGTTTGCTTAGGCCCCGATGTCGGACTTTAACAGGGCGCTTTCTCTCAACATCGGGTTCCAGGAGGCGAGTCGTGAGTACGATTACCAATGCTTCATCTTCCATGACGTAGACTTACTTCCGGAAAACGACAGGAACATGTACACGTGCCCCACAGACCCACGTCACATGTCCGTAGCTGTTGATAGATTGAAATATAAGTAAGTTGACAATTAGATGTTATTATAATTTTACCTTTTTTCGGATATAGTCACTATTTATCAAAAAACCACAAATAGGCTTATTTATGCTATAAGGTAAAATCTGTTAATCAAATATACCACATTCTACAACCTGGATAAAACTCTAATGGAAAATTGAACCAATGAATATATAAAAAGGAACTGCTCCGAATTTGAGGATAGTTTTTATTCAAGCTTCGAATGAAGTTTTCTGAGTTGCAAACTGACTTTTCGAGCTTCAGTGGCCATTTTCGAGTTGAACTTTTCGAGTTTAGTATTCGAGTTTTGGGTTGTCTTTTTTGAGTTTCGATCGAACATTTTCGAGTTTCGAATGGACAATTTCGAGTTTCTTTTTCGAGTTTCGAGAGAGTATTTTCGTTTTACGAGTTGACGCATCTGGATAATTCTATTTTTAGATATCAGTTGTAATATCTAATGGCAAATTTAAATAATTGAGTATGGTCAGTTCAAGTTTACTACTGCAGTCTGTACACTGGCATATACTGTACGGATACGTGGGTTCTGGAAATTATTTATGAAGTCATTTAAAGTTCCCATCAAACCTCTACACGTCATGTGGCTAACATGAGATTGCGATCAGTATGTATCACATAACTGACTCATTTTACTCTAGCATGTGGTAATGTAATAAAGATGGTAATACACACGTGTATACTAAAAGATGCTGCGATTTGTCAAAACTCTTAACTTCATTAACAGCATTTTTTCTAACGAAGTTGAATGTTTTGCTATTAAATGAATTCCAATTGCATTTAAAACTACATTTTTTAAAACTCAAATCAGTCGTATTCGATCTAATCAACTGAGCTACCGAATCAATGGAGCGTCCTGGCAAATTCGTTCTTGTATTACATGAACATTTTGTATCTCTTTTTTTTTAAAATTAAGGGGAGATTACTGTACCTTCATGAACAAATACAAATGACCGATGTAGGTTCTTATATACCAAACCTACATCGGTCATTTTTATTTGTAGGTCGTCTCAAAGCGGTTCACAAATTATTATCCGTGGTTAAAGTGCCTTTGCAACCAGCCAACGCCTTTCTCAACTCACCAAGGAGCATACAACCGGTGCTGCCATTTCGGCGCTCACTGCTAGCATTCAAGAATTCTAGCACTGCCCAACCACGTACTCATTTACAGCTGAGTAGACTGGAGCGAGCTGGGTAAAGTATCTTGCTCAAAGATACAACACAGTTTCGTGACGTGACTCGAACCCGCATCCCTTCGGTTACGAGCCCGGTGTCTTTCTTACCACTAGACTACCGTGTCTCCTAACAAAGATAACCGCATTTAGGCAAGACTAGGACTCGGACCCTGGACCTCAGTTCATTCTTATTTGCTCTAAATACCCATGGTCAACGGTAGGACACTGGTCCATTCCTGATAGTGTTATAATAAATACAAAATTAAGACGAGAGTACTGTACAATGTATGTACGAAAGACTACGGTGTAGTTATCTAGTGTTTTGCCTGAAGTGGGACAGGGATCATCTAGCCGTCAACAAGCTTAAGTTAGGTACAGGGCGATAAGTCAGGAGAAAGAGTGAATGACAATGTGGTCATGCATAGCAAATAATCTAAATACTAGGAAAAGAGATGTTCTCTGCGAGTTCATTTGGCAGTTATGGTAGGCCTGATTGGAGTAAAGGTGGTAAATACATATCAGTTGAACTAAGGTAGGGCATTAACTGCCTTTATGTTGTCATATCAAAATATACCTCGGCGTGAATATTTAAAACTCTATTACAAAACAATTGTTTAAAGTCAATTACAAAGATATTGAGGAGACACCATGAACTCTACAAAAATGTTGTCAAAACCTGATGTTCTAGGAGGAAAAAGTGTTTTTGCACCACATGCCGTATGTTGTCAAATTCAGGAAATATGAAAACGTGTCTGTGATCAACGGTATAAGACATAGTTAACCAATCTTTAAGCATCGCATACATTTCAAATCAGGTCACTATGACAACCGTGACGTTTCCTCAGCGTATATTGAGATACATCAGGTAGAATACTCTGGCATTGTAGTTCATTGCTTAATAGAACGAACTCATCTAGAAAATCCTGAATTCATACATAGCAAATAAGCTGTGACATATTAATCTATAATTAAGGGGTACTAATATGTTACTACTGAGAAAAGGAAAGTTAATGATCGTAAGACTAAAGACGCCTTAATGATATGACAGAAATAACGCAATGTCTGTTATTTTACACGCCTAGAGATGCAGGTGGGTTATCCTGTTAATGCATTTTCAAAAGATAAAAATATTTCAACCTTTTGTATGTTATATTTTACAGGTTACCATACGCCACCATCTTCGGCGGAGTTGTAGCGATGACGAAAGAACATTTTCTAACAGTAAATGGTTTTTCAAATAAATTCTTTGGCTGGGGTGGCGAAGACGACGACATGTACAAAAGGTAAACAGGACAATTACAATGATATTCATATTCTCGTGAACTGACATTTACAGTGGTGGAAAGAGTACTACAATTTGTACATTAAATATACCGTTCCGCTAGACTCCGCTTTTTTATAAACAGGATAAAATTGACATTTCTTACTTTTCTAACATAGAAAAAGTCATTAACTGTGAGCTGATACCAAACTTAGGATGTGAATCGTGTAAAAGATATAAACCAAAAAATGAATTGAAATTTGAGTTTCTTACGTGCCGTTAAGAATTCGATGATTTACATGTCACGCATGCCCGAATTGGTCCCTTTAAATGACGATATTTCTTGTCAAATTTTGACCCGGTTCTTTTGTTATTACGATCATTTTACGATAATTACGAAGTTGATCGAACTTGGCGATGTAATATTCGTTATCACTTGAGGTGAAAGCACGTTTATTGTGTAAATATTACCTCGGACTCGGTCGAACACATCGTTGTCATTCGTTGGATAGTGCTCTCGTGAAATCTCGTGAATGATAATAACGTTAACATGGCGTCAACCCTCCGTTTGATGAGATAAGTAGCAGTTAGGAAAGAGTTTCGCACGCTTATACTTGACATAAATATTAGTCATTGGAATTTTAAATCTTTTCATACCAATACACAATACGATACATTTTTAGAACATTAACTTTGCTAATGGATATTCTGATTTATAGTGATAAAATTCAGAAGCAAAATGCATAAATTGACTCAGCTTTTCGTAGACTTGACAATAGCAAAAAAAAACTCCCATATTTTTTATTGTTTTGAAACCGGTATATATAAATCATGGGCATGCTCATTATCCCCTCGGCATAGATTCTTGAATACTACGTCAATTGTTTGTTACATATTAAAGTTTTATTCCGACCCTCGACTTGACGTTCAAACGAGCACAGACAGACATATACAAAATGGCAGTGAGAATGTAGAAATGTTACCTGAACGATTTGTTTGTACGATGTGATTAACCTCTATTTTCAGGATTGAACATACTTATGTTTACTTGTACTTCTTTCATCCCCAGGATCAATTATACACATTTAAATATAACCCGATACAAACCAAAGATAGCAAGGTACCGGATGTTGGCACACCGGAAAGACTCGTCCGTAAATACTGAGAGGTACGATATTTTCTAATTTGAATACGGACAGCTCACAACAGCTTCACTAGAAACAATACAGCAAAACATTTTAATAACTGGCCTTTACGTGAATATGTGAATCTCGATTTGATGATATTTTCAAACAATATTTTAACGGCAATATCATTAATAAGCGTTAATACACTGCAAGTCCGTTTTATCAAAAATATTTTTTATTTTTAATTATGCTTAGATACATATTCAGTGCTTTATTGATACGAGTTATGTTTCAATAACACGTCGATCTTATTGTATACATTCTTATTTTACATGATTTTATTTTTTGTTCTCACTAATTTAGCAAACGTCTTATTTTCTGTTGAAGATTTTACTTGCTGAGACACACAAATGATACCTGGCGGACTGATGGACTGAACTCGCTAACGTACAGACACATAAAGACAGATCGTCATAGACTGTTTACGTACGTACTGGTGGATATCGACCCCGCCCACCCCGCCTACTACACTGACCGGTTAAAGATTGTCGATGAATCTATTAGAAAAATGAGAGAAGACTTCAATAAAAGCAAAGAAAATGACTTGTCTACGGAGAGCACGGGAGCTAACTCGTCTTTAGCGAGCAAGGGAGTTAACTCATCTCGTCTTGTTGTGGCGCGTAGTGAACAGAACATGCGCACTCTGATGCCAAACCAGTCCATCAATAGTACAACTGGTACTTTGATTACAGACAAGCCAAAGCACCTAGGGGCCTTGCATCCAATACAGCAGTTTATGCTATCTTTAAAAGAGTTGTTAACTGATAAAAAAGAAGAGGACATTAATTCGATTTCTGATAAAGAGTTAGCGTCGTTTGTTCGAGTTTACGTAAACAACTTGAGAAAAGCTGGATTTTCAATTAACAATGAATTACATTTTAAAAAGGATACAGTTATAAAAACAAAATCAGACACAAAGCCAAAATTGGATAAAATTGTTAAATATATCAATGCAAATAAAAAATGGTGATACCAGCCGGGTCTGTCTCTGTATCTATTTATTTACATTGTAACAGCTAAACCTATCTGTATATAGCTGGTAAAATTTACAAAATGATTTTGTTTTTTTCGTGAGACCTCTCCTGCTTGCAATCAGGTCCGTTCACATGTTCAAACAATTAGTTATTTTGTGAAATGAAATCTGGTAGAAATGTAAATTTTGATTGACGGCAACCTGGATGCAACTGACCCCCGTGGAAAATATTACAAAAAAAATAACCCTTTATTGAAGCTTAAATTAAACGCTTACTTCCTCTGCCACTGAATTCCATAGCATCTTTCACCTGAAATCTACCACGTGGGGTTTAATCTTCGGCTGAACCCAGCGACTGGAGTCCCTTCAGTGTTCGCCAGCTGCGGTCAACACCCAAGATACAAGAAATGCATGTACACAAAAGCTTTATCTAGAGTTGCATAAGAAAAAGTTCAGCTTTAATGAGCTTTTATTTCAATAAACATATATAAAATGATAATTACACATTATTAAAGGGAGATAACAACAGATACGTTATTTATAAAATAGATTTTATTCCAACCGAATATCATTCCATGGTTTCTATTTTAAATTCCCTACCTTCAACAGTTCCAAAACATGAAATGAATGTATTTTATTTAAATTGATAAATGAGTAGTGTTAAGATGAAAATAAAATAGCGTAACATTGAGAGAGATTGCAGGTAAGCAATACTAAAATAGATTATTGAAATATGACATAATTCAATAATGAACAATTGCTTGTCACACAAGTATTACTTACATTGATACTTAGGGTACATGCTCGAATCTCTCCATTGAGTAAAACCTCGATATAATGCCCCTCGTTGTATCCACCTACTCGCCTACCGTCGAGGTAATTCAATATCTACTTCTCCTTTGTATTGACAATTCCTTTGTAAGTCTCCATCAATACATCGTCAATACCCCTAATCCCAAAATGTGTAATCCCAAAATTTTCACTGTAAAAACCTTTCGAAAGTAAAATACCACTCTATCCAGCTTTTGGAAGTTACGTGTCAAAGCTGATAACATTTTACCGTTTATTTCCTGTATAACCATTTCGAAATACCGAGATTGTTTTCCTGTCGAAGAAAGAAATACGTAACCAAAGTTCACTGCCGTACAGGGTTCAATCTACGCTGTGGACTCTGTACGGTTACAATTAAAATATCCATAATGTCTTAGCTCGCTGGTGACATATAAACTTTCTCGCGCTTTTGACCGGAAGCATCACAATGGGTGCCACACGATTTTGCGGGAAACGTTTAACCAATTCACTTCCGGTTTTGTGCATGAAAAATGTCTTGGTTTTTATTGTTTGTATAAGTGTATTTCTATTTTATTGCATTAACTATTGAAGTCATTGGTAAAAATACGCCTGGAATATTTCCAAACAGAAATTTTGAACAGGAAATCAAATGCGCACTTAATGAGGCTCAAAGAAAAGGTCGTAAAAAAATAAAGAATTTTTTGAAGAAAATTATCAACGAACAACAACTTGATACAACACACTTGAAAAAGGGTATGTATAATATAGATCATGTCGTTAAATGGGTAAGTACAAAGGTGTACCGAAATCATTTTTGATGACAGAATTCGAATGCCTTCGTTTACTTGTAGCAATGCCTCAAAAAATATTATTACACATTTCACGACAATATCAAAAATATTCGAAATGCAAATTTCCTACAATTTATCCTGTCGAAGGAATCGTCTTTTCTATTTTGTTTTTTATATATATATTTACGTTGATGCATTATTGCTCTCCCAATTTCAACATTTCACACAACACACTATCTCATGTCATTTAAAAGGAAGACACACTACCCTCCTCTGTCGATTTATTTGTATCTCGGGTACGAAAGATCTCCTGATAATCAATCGGTAAACACACATTATACGAAGAAAACAGTAAATGTGTTTTCTTTTTTTGTTTGTTATCTAGACGTGTTTGCATACCAATGTTTACATCCTTGACCTGATGGGGTTTATATATAGGATCCCCCGTCCCGTCTGTGAGCCACGCCTTTACGCTCGCGGCTTGATCCCTAGATGCCGCTCAAACCTCCAGCTATCGAACAACATGTCGTATAGAAATTGTATAGATGAAAAAAATAAACCAGCCATATGATCGCAGTTTTAAAAAATAACAGCAGAGCAGCGTTAGCACCTCGGCGTCATATCGCCCACATTTTGATAAGAGTTCCACATCAAATTACACGCGTTAGACTCCCCCGTGACCACGCGAGATTCTTTTAGAAATAGGTTATCATTTGATAAGCGCTCACCTGCAGTCCCGGTAGTAAGTTAATATTGATTTGTGTATTTATTTGACCGCTGATATCCGGGGTATGTCTGTAATTGGTTCTTACTGTTGGTGTACACTCTTTTGAGGAAGATCCCACAATCTTCGGTGGTATTTTTAGTGGGTTAACAAAAGTTTCGTTATGTTTTCGTGGAATCAATATTTAAAACTTTTCTTCATTTGATTAACCATTCTAACAGAACAGATATGAAACAAAACAGTAAAACGTGTTAGTTTCTATAATTTAGATATTGACTGTAAAAATAGATGATCTGATTTTGTTGTTTTTGTTTGTTTTTTGTTTTTTCGGGAGGGGGTAGCGAAATACATGAAATACAGATAATGATTAAGACTTAACGTGTATAAGCAGGAACATGTCGTTGCTGATCTTCGTGTAAAGGCATTTGTTGCAATGTCGAAGTCCATTGGAGCCATGAAAAAACAACACTGGATACATCGCAGATACAATCTAACAAGTAAAAAACGACTACGACATACATGTAGGCAGGCTATTCGAGTCGTCCACGTTCGCAATTTTCTTGTTTTGATCAGTAAGTTTCGTTCAATAAAATGTACCCAACAAACGTTGTACACAATACAATTCAAATCTCACGAAAAATCAGTTCTGTGTACAAACTCGTAAATTATATACCTAAAAAAGAGTCGATCCGGACCTTTGTAGTAGATGATCCGTCGTTCCGCACATCCTGGAGAAGATGCTGGAAGATCCATATCTTTTTTTTTTCTTTTGCTTGTATCAAATATTTTATCAGGTGCAATCTTTTGGCATTCTCTTTAATTTTATTGCATTCAGTTTTTACTCAGAATATTTCCGTGACTACCCTTTCTTCTGTACGCTTCTGCAGCAACAGCAGAAAAAAAACCTTTCTGTAGCGTCGTACATTCTCTACGATACGTATTACATACAGGGAACATCCCAGGCATGTAGGGGTGACCTTCACCAGTATCTTACATTAGAAACCCACACGTCGCAACCTCTCCCTGCCGAGATTAATAATGCTCTATCTGCCTTTAATGTCAAAGCTGGCGTCGCCACTGTGTCATCTATTTTGATATCACACAAAATGGGAAGCATCTACTGTACAGTGCATTTTTATGACGTCTCCTCCAAAGTTATTGTTATTTTATAACTGTGTTCAGAGATGAAGTGACGAATCAAATGTCATTTCTAGTGTTATCTCACTGAAATACCGTAACTGGGATTGGGCGCCTCATACCTCAACCACTGACGTCTTTGTTAAAGAAGACTAACATAACTAAGATGTTCCCGTGAGTTTTTGGTCACTTCATGATCAGTATCCTCCATGACATGGCTCTGAATCTGACCATTAATCACCTCACACGATCATGTAGTGGAGTACAACAGGCCCGTAATCCACGAGGCCTGCTTCGTTAAGGTTCTGTACCCACTACGTCCATTCTACGCAAATGTGACTTTCGTTTTGAATTCATTGAATCTTCTCGTGAACTAAGGTAATTAGATGCTTAAATGTACGCGTACACAGGTATATCGGTATGCTAAAGCAGATACAGACTTGGCACTCTCAAAATAGACATTTTGTTAACCCCTCGAGACAGATTATTTTGAATTTCCCTCGGCCGTCCCACTTATCCATTTTCTTACTTACTCCGCCTACCTGTCATTTGATTGCCTTGGCCATTTCCGCTAGGTTACGGAAACTGCCGTGGGATATAGTCTGCGGGTGTTATAGTTTTCGGACTAACTCACGGCTGAAAGAGGACGAACTCCCTAGGCTAAGAAATCATGCCAAAAGGCGTGGCTATATTTTATGTAGTAAATTTAACAAGTTGATTTCAAATAGAGCGAATTAATTAACATCAACCGAATAACCGTATAAAACGTCTTTGTTTGAAGTGTTATTTTATTTACAAAAACAAATTACTTGGAAGATGAGCATTCTCAACTGAATTTACTGGAATTTCTGGAATTGGAAAAAATATTAAAAACTGCTTTTCGACGCTACCTCGACATTGAAGTAAAAATGCCACGGACGTTCTTTACCGATTACAAATGGCTAGCTAACACTCGAGTGGGCGTTCATGCTCGTTGCACGTAGGCAAAATCATCAAGCTATGCGGAGTTTCGTATTCGGGAAGGCGAATAGTCGGAACCCATCATAATAAAGTGTTGATATCACTCCGCGCTATGTTTCACATAAAGATATCGTGGTGCAGCATACAACACATGGCAAGCGATCTCATGTCAATATCACTTCCCAGATACGGTAATTGGCCTCCATTTCACTTAATCGATTTCCCGCGAGATAGATGGTACACATTCGTGGCAGGATAGCGGAAAGTTTATATACACTAAATAACATCACAGTCCCGAGGCCGAACCAAGTAGATTTTAGAGAGCTGCTTTTGAAACCGTCGACATCCTGTCAGAATCAACAATAAAAGGAAGCTAATAAAAGCTAGGCAACGTAAACCTTCATAGAACACCGGAAGTTATGTGGTGAGTTCCGGAAGTTTAGCCGTTTCAAATTTCATCATGTGTTACCCATCAAAGTATATACATTGGTAGTCATAAAACGTAACTTGCTAATCAAATTTAACCGGGTTCTCGATATATCTATTATGTATTGTTATTACATACTTACTAAAAAATACGGGTTTTTTGTATA